TGCGGCGTCGCACTCGCCCCTGGGCCTGTGCGCCCTGCTGCTGGCGCTTCTGGGCGCGCTGCCTGCGGGCACCCGGGCTCAGCCGTACCACGGCGAGAAGGGCATCTCGGTACCGGACCACGGCTTCTGCCAGCCCATCTCCATCCCGTTGTGCACGGATATCGCCTACAACCAGACCATCTTGCCCAACCTGCTGGGCCACACGAACCAAGAGGACGCCGGCCTCGAGGTGCACCAGTTCTACCCGCTGGTGAAGGTGCAGTGTTCTCCCGAGCTGCGCTTCTTTTTATGCTCCATGTACGCGCCCGTATGCACGGTGCTCGACCAAGCCATTCCTCCGTGCCGCTCCCTGTGCGAGCGCGCCCGCCAAGGCTGCGAGGCTCTCATGAACAAGTTCGGCTTCCAGTGGCCGGAGCGGCTGCGTTGCGAGAACTTCCCGGTGCACGGCGCCGGCGAGATCTGCGTGGGCCAGAACACGTCTGACGGCTCCGGGGGCGCGGGCGGCAGTCCCACCGCCTACCCTACTGCTCCCTACCTGCCAGACCCGCCTTTCACTGCCATGCCCCCCTCAGATGGCAGAGGCCGGTGGTCTTTCCCCTTCTCGTGCCCGCGCCAGCTCAAAGTGCCCCCCTACCTGGGCTACCGCTTCCTAGGTGAGCGCGATTGCGGTGCCCCGTGTGAGCCCGGCCGTGCTAACGGCCTTATGTACTTTAAAGAGGAGGAGAGGCGTTTCGCCCGCCTCTGGGTGGGTGTGTGGTCGGTGCTGTGCTGCGCCTCGACGCTCTTCACGGTGCTCACCTACCTAGTGGACATGCGGCGCTTCAGCTACCCAGAGCGACCCATCATCTTCCTCTCGGGCTGCTACTTCATGGTGGCCGTGGCGCACGTGGCGGGCTTCCTGCTGGAGGACCGTGCCGTGTGCGTGGAGCGCTTCTCGGACGATGGCTACCGCACGGTGGCGCAGGGCACCAAGAAGGAGGGCTGCACCATCCTCTTCATGGTGCTTTACTTCTTCGGCATGGCCAGCTCCATCTGGTGGGTCATTCTGTCCCTCACTTGGTTCCTGGCAGCTGGCATGAAGTGGGGCCACGAGGCCATCGAGGCTAACTCGCAGTACTTTCATCTGGCCGCATGGGCTGTGCCGGCAGTCAAGACAATCACCATCTTGGCCATGGGCCAGGTGGACGGGGACCTTCTCAGTGGAGTGTGCTACGTGGGCCTGTCTAGTGTGGATGCGCTGCGGGGCTTCGTGCTTGCGCCCCTCTTCGTCTACCTCTTCATCGGTACGTCCTTCCTCCTGGCCGGCTTTGTGTCTCTCTTCCGCATTCGCACCATCATGAAGCACGACGGCACCAAGACCGAGAAACTGGAGAAGCTCATGGTGCGCATCGGCGTCTTCAGCGTGCTCTACACGGTGCCGGCCACCATCGTGCTGGCCTGCTACTTTTACGAGCAGGCCTTCCGCGAGCACTGGGAGCGCACCTGGCTCCTACAGACCTGCAAGAGCTACGCTGTGCCCTGCCCTCCGGGTCACTTCCCGCCCATGAGCCCCGACTTCACAGTCTTCATGATCAAGTACCTGATGACCATGATCGTGGGCATCACTACCGGCTTCTGGATCTGGTCTGGCAAGACCCTGCAGTCATGGCGTCGTTTCTACCACAGACTCAGCCACAGCAGCAAGGGGGAGACTGCGGTATGAGCCCCGGTCCTTCTCCCAACCTTGCCACTTCTCCCTCCTTGTAGGAGGAGAGGCATGGTAGGGAAAGAACTGCTGGGTGGGGACTTGTTTCTGTAGGCTACCCCCTCCTCCACTGAGCTTTAACATGGAAGTGAGAAGTTAATTGGAGGTGAGAAGAGATTTGGGGTTAGAGGTGGTTTTGAGAGAGGGCCTGAGTGAAAAGTCAAAAGGCAGGGTGGTTGAAAAGACTTCTGACTAAGACTTGCAGGACGGTGCTAACTGTGAAAGATATAGGCCGACTAGGGCCTTGAGGGAAAGGTTGACATCAGCAGAGATTTGGTGAGTTCTTCCCGGCGCCAGAGCTGAGCCAGGGTTGAGTCCAATCCCTGCTGCAAGGCAAGTGGCTGTCCTCGCTCCAGTGAGGCCGGGGGAGGGGGGAGATAGCGTTCTGTCTGCAGCCTGGGCTTTGTTGGGAAGATGGGGGCCCCCTGTGGTGCCCTTGTCAAGCGGTGGTCAAACCATAATCTCTTTTCACTGGGGCCAAACTGGAGCCCAGATGGGTTAATTTCCAGGGTCAGACATTACAGTCCGCCTCCCCGACCCCCTCCCGCCTGTTTTTCCTCCCCTACTCCTTTCAAGTCTAGTAAAATAAGCATTTGGAAGGCCGGGAAGGCCTGCCTGCTAGAATCATAATACGAAGATTCGAAAGAAGTCGGTAACATTTCCGAGAGGAGGCCAAGAAGATGAGTGGTAGATAGTTCTACTACTTTTTTCATTTTTCTTGGGAAGGCAAGAGGCAGAAAGAAAAATAATGTTTTGTTTGGTTTCATACCCTGAAAAGAAGTGATGACTTGTTGCTTTTCAAAATAGGAATGCATTTTCCCCCTTGTCTTTGTTGTAAGAGACAAAGGGGGAAACAAAAGTGTCTCCCTGAGGAAAGGCTTAACTGTGAAGGCAGCAGCTTTTATAGGCAAAGCAGCAGAAATCTGAGGTTTCCCTTCGGTTGTTAATTTGGTTGAGATAAACATTCCTTTTTAAGGAAAAGCAAAGGGCATCGCGCTTTAGTACCCATTCAGCCAAAGGTTCTGACTTGAATAAAGGAAATGCAAGGAGTTTTGTTATTTGTTTTAAACAGATTTAATTCATAACACATGATCTAACAGGCTCTGGTAAACAGCTTAATGAAATCTCCCTCCATTCCACACCCCCCCCATAAGCCTAAATTTCAGTTTACTTGTCCCCACCTACTTCCTTCCAATTTTTTTTTTTGTGTGTGTGTGTGTGTGTGTGTGTGTGTGTGTGTGTGTGTGTGTGTGTTTGGGGTTTCTTTTGGTTTTTGTTTGTGTCTTTTGGGGAGTGGTTGATTTTTTGTTGTTGTTGTTGTTGTTTGGGTTTTTTGGGTTTTGGTTTTTGGGTTTTTTTGTTTTGTTTTGTTTTGTTTTCCAAGACAGTTTCTCTGTATCCCCTCCCTATCCTGGAACTCAGTCTGTAGACCAGGCCTCAAACTCTGAGATCCCCCTGCCTCGGCCTCCTGCGTGCTAGGTTAAATGGGATTAAGGGTGCAGACCACCACACCTGGCCCGACCCATCCAGTTGGAATTCTTCACAATTAAAGAAGAGGCATAATGCTCACAGAATCAAGCCAAAGGGAAAATTAAAGAGTTAAAAACATTTTGCCCACAAATCTAAGAAACACGTGCTGGCCCTTTCTCTGGTTGCATGAAGAAGGGATGTTCGGGACTGATAGTGAAAGAGAGGAGAGCTTGTGCCAGGGTTAAGAAGTCATTAAAGGAAGGTAAACTTCAAAGTGATTCTGGAGTTCTTTGAAATGTGCTAGAAGACTTAAATTTATTAATCTTAAATCGTATACTTTATTTCCCCTGTAATGGAAGTCTGGTTCTTTGGCGTAATGATGTAAAGCTAAGCAGAGCATCGTGAGAGCTAACCGTTAGTCCACCTTTCACACTGATTGTCCTCCCGTCCTGCAGGGCTGCTCAGTTCCTCAGAGCAGTTGTTAAATGCCAATCAGGGGGTACTGTCGTGAGTACAAATTACTTTATACATATGTCACATTCAGTTGAATGGAGCTGCTTTTTAAAGTGATCTTGTATTTCTGAAACTTTCAAGAAATGATCTCAACAGTCAGATTTTTTTAACTGCCACTACACAGGTTTGGCATCTTTTGTGTTTTATCTCTTAAGTGCATGTGAAATTTGTAAAATAGAGACAGTGCAGTATGTATATTTTGTAAATCTCCCATTTTTGTAAGAAAATATATATTGTATTTATACATTTTTACTTTGGATTTTTGTTTTGTTTTGCCTTTAAAGATCTACAATGAAGCCCCACTTTATCACATGTACAGATCACAAATAAATTTTTTAAAAAATATAAAGTGAATGTTTATTTATTCTTCCTGAGATAGTAAACCAAAGGACAAAACTGTATTGTGGAAAGAAGGTGTGTTACGGGGTGTGTCCTGCATGGAAGAGGATGGTGGCATAGGGTCCTGAAAGCCTAGACTGTCCTGTGGTTTTGTTTTGTTCTTCTTTTCTGTTTCCTGCTCCCCTCCATGGCCTCTTCCACATTATCTCTAAGTTCTCAACTTGAGGGCCCAGGCCCCTTTGGGTGTCACATATCCTGCATATCAGATTTCACATGACAATTCATAACTAGCAAAATTACAAAATGAAGTAACAACGAAAATAATGTTAAGGTTGGGGGGGGGGGTCACCACAACGTGAGGAACTGTATTAAAGGGTACAGCATGAGGAAGGTTGAGAACCACTGCTCTAAACCTTTTCAGGGAAGCTTGTGAGGACCTACCAAGAGGTTTGGAATGTATGTCTCTCTGATCTGTAATTTAGTAACCTTACTGGAGTAAGCCCATGTTTGAAAGAGAACTAGAAAGTATTTTTGGTATTTCTACTTCTCCGTTGATTTTTCCCTCTTTGGGAATTGTTCGCGCGCGCGCGCGCGTGTGTGTGTGTGTGTGTGTGTGTATGTCCCCTAATAGACCTTATCTAAGTTATTAATATTTAAAGGCTTTGAATTCAGGGGGTAGGGAAAGTTTGTAGATGCGTCCAGATAAGAGCAGGGGTCACCTTTGTAGAACACTTAGCTGGAGGCTTCCCTCTACCTTCTAGGTAAACTAAAACAGTCTGAGAGCTCTCTGAGGGGACAGTGACTCAGCAGCCCGCAGGGATAGACTACTGCCTGACCCTGAGGTGGCCTCAGAAGCCACTGACCCTGAGGTGGCCTCAGAAGCCACTTGGCTGTTACTTGCTCTTGAAGAGGCTAACTTTGGAAACAGAAGAGGCTGGGTAGCCCTCGGGGAAATGGTCACGGCAGCCTCACATTCTGAGTTCTAAGCCTACATAGTTTTTCACTTGCCCCTTAAAATTCAGTTGCCAATAGCCGATGGTACGTACCCAAGGTAGGCAGTGCTGCTGTGTCTCCCATCCCACAACCGGCTGAAAGTGTCTGTACTTCCAAAGCATAACAGAAACAGTTCTGGCTTTGTTCTAATTAACAGACTCACACTGGCAGTGTTCTACAAAGGGAAAGAATGAAAACCAGTGACAGGCAGGTCTCCAGGAGAAGGGCAGCTAGCTAGACACTGGCCAGGGCAGGCTTGTTTGTTTGTTTGTTTTGTTTTTTATGAGGGTCTTGGGTTCTGAACATCACAGTGGGTGTGAAGTAATTCTAAGGGATGAAGTTTTGGGTAGCAAGGACAGAAAATGTAGTGACTTTGAATCTCTTCTTTATCCACTTTGCAGTCATAAAATGACAACTTTTAGGTAAACCATGTCTTCCAGTATGGCCTGTTAAAGACTGTTTGCTTTCAGAGCAAATGGAAGGACCTTGCTGCTTGCTTCTCATTTTTTTTTTTTCTTTTCCCTTTTTCCTTTTTCCTTGTTGCAAACACTTCCCTTCCAAGGGAAGCCTTGTGGCTGCTCCTAAGAACATATCCCTGCCTTGTCTTTCAGAGTTCCCAATGATCCTAGAGGCTTGTTCTCTAAAGAGGGAACAAAACAGCCTGTGAAGTGATCACTAACCTGCGCTTGTTAGCAGAAAACTCCCACTTAGCTTCTTTCACACGAGGGTGCCCTGTGAGGTCAAACCTTACCTAAGAATTTTAGAAACCCCATGGGGTTTCCTAAAAAGTTGCATTTTAGCAGAAACTATGTGAGGGAGAACATTTGCAAAAGAGAATATATAGAGTATAAGAAAAACTTTGGCTGGAGTTTGATGTTAGTCCCCAGATATGGAACAAAAACACTGAAAACTTTTCTGCACTTTATAAAACAAAATACAACAATGCATTGCAACACCTAATCTTGGTAAGTGGGTGTGTGAGAACTCTTGGCAGGGGGCGGGAGGGCCCTGTTAACATCTTAGTATTAATTTTTAAAATGTACTTAAAAATGTGATATTGGAATTTCTCTTGGAAGGGCTATCGTAACATAACAGCTGTAGGTTTGAGCCCTGTAATTCCACTCAGAAAATCTCTTCTCACTCTCCCATCTTTAATTTCACTGAAAAGGCAGATGGCTATTTATAGATGGTATATTTTTGTATATGCATATGTGAACGGTGAATAACAGTCTACGGGGCTCCAGGAAATCCTAGAAGAGACTGAAAACACTCCAGTGTACACTTAAATAAACAGTTCATAGATGTTGTGCTGGCCGGTTTCTATGCCAACTTGACACAGGCTAGAGTCATTTGGGAAGAGGGACTCTCAATTAAGAAAATGCCCCCACCAGATTAGCCTGTGGGCAAACTTGTAGGGCATTCTCTTGATTAAGAATTGATGTGGGTGGCCCATGGGGGTTGTGCCACCCCTGAGTGGGTGGTCCTGAGTGGTAAAGCCAGCAGGCTGAGTAAGCCCTGAGGAGAAAGCAGTAAATAGCACTCTTCCATGGCTTCTGCATCAGTTCCTGCCTTGGGTACCTGCCCTGATTTCCCTGGATGATGAACTGCAAGCCGTCATGTGAAAGACCCCTTCCTCCTGAGAACGTTTCTTTGGTCGTAGTGTTTTATCACAGCAGCAGACGCCCTAACTAAGACATATACATTCTTTTCTCTTTTTTCCTTATTTCCTTTTCCTCCATGAATTAACCTGGTTTCAAAAGGTTCATTCTTAAACTCTTCTTAATAAGTCTTTAAAAAAAAAAAAAGAATCTGAAGCTATATTCCTCATACCTTCCTAGGAAATTGAACCTAGTTAAATGGTTACCATAACAATGCCAGTTCTTTGGTAAGCATTCTATTTCTTACTCCCTTTTATTATCTTTTGTATGCATGTGGGGAGATTTGTGGGTGAGTGAAATATGTTAGCATGGGTGTGTGCACAGGTGTGTGTACACATGTGTGTGAAGTAGGGGCCAGAGGTTGACGCTGGCTGGCTTCCTCTTTTTCCTCCATCTTACTTGCTGAAACAAGTCTCTCCCCAAACTTGGAGCTCATCAATTCCATTAGGGTGGCTAGGCAGTGAGCCCCAGTGATCTACTTGACTCTGTCCCCTGAGCCCTAGCGTTACAGTAACACATATCCAGCTTATACATGTGTGTTGGGGACATGTGTGCTTTACATGTGTGTGAAGATCCTAACTTAGGATCCTTGTACTTGTGAGGTAAGCAAGCCCTCTCTTTGGGGAGATTAGATGGATAGATAGATAGATAGATAGATAGATAGTAGATAGATGATAGAGAAATTAAAAAATGATGAGAGAATAGATAGATAAATGATAGAGAGATGATAGGTAAATGATAGATAAATAGATGATAGATTAGATAAATGATAGATGAAATAGATGACAATATAGATAGATGTGTGTATGTATGACATATGTACATTCATTCTGGAATTTTCTCTATCATAGTTGGGGTTAGCAAGTTTGACAACAGTAGTTATTTTAGATTCCATTTCAAAAGCACTGATCAGCATCCAGTTCAAAGATACCAGCAGGAGACCAGCCAAAGCTTACCTGAAATAGGTCTAGATGCAGTTCAGTGTGAGCACATCCCTCGAGGAAGAATGAACAAATAAAAGTCATGATGCAGACAAAAGGAGAGAGACTCAAATGACATTTAACCTTTTCTTAAAG